GATTTTCAATGGATGTTTACAGCTGTTTCTCTTCAGTTTGATTTGTGGCCCATTAGCAAATGAAGGTTCTGTGAGCATTTCTCCCCCGAGCTTAACTCTATTCATGTCATCATGGTCATCTTGGTCAACTCTACTTTGAGGAGGCATTTTTTCCCCCAGTCGCATTCTGAATGTCTTCCCACTTTCTGGTCCTGTATCTGACAGTGTTTCTCTGCTATTCATAGAGTTTTCAGTGACTAGTGATTTGGAAGTAGTTTGTCACTCTTTCTTCCTAGTCTGTCTTTGTTTGGAAGCTCATCTGAAACCTGTGCACCATGGGTGACTCTGCTGGTTACTTAAAATACTGGTGGCATAGCCCTCAGAGTCACAGCAATTCAAACCACCACAGCACGACAGACAGAGGAGTAGCGGTTGCATGGTTGCTGTTAAATAGGAATGTCCTTGTGCTAGGGCTCTTAAGTCAGGCTCAAAGGCGGGATTTCTATCCTTGGATGTCAATCAAGAGGCGGAGGCGGGGCGACTGGGTTGTAGTGAGACGCTTTGGGCTGCACTTGTGGGTCTCTAAGTTGGTCGACTCCGCCTCAAAGCCAGGATCCAAAGGTTAGGCTAGGAAGGCGCTCTGGAGTCCGGGGGTAAGTAGGACAGCCTGGCCGGCCCCTGCAGTCTCTTCCCGCTAGGCAGCGTCCCCATCGACCTGGTCTCCAGACACCTCTCACCCGCCAATCCGTGGTCTGGGTTTCATTTAACACCTCCACCAGGTCTGCGCAGTTGTGGCACATCGTTTAACTGCCGCCCTCCATGATAGAAGCCCTCGTGCTAATACCATAGCTCAAATGCATCATTTCTTCTACGGCCTTCCTTTTAGGCATATTAATATTATCCTATCACAGAAAACGTTGTATTTTAAGATAGACCTTGATATGTTCTTTTTGATGATGAATGGGACACCATTCCTCCTCCATTTGTCATGTGATTTTCAGATTCAAACTGACCAATACCAGTCCATTTCAGCTTACTAGTATCTAGGATATCGATGTTTATGACTTACTTTTCCTTTTTTTGACAACTTCAAATGTTCCTAGATTCATACTTCATACATTCCATTTCTGATTTTTAATGGATGTTTACAGCTGTTTCTCCTCATTTTGAATTGTGCCCCATCAGCAAATGAAGGGCACTATATCTGACTGCGTTCTGGTGCCCTCCATCATGTTTCAGTATTCAATATTCTGGCGCTGTCTGACAGTGGTGTTCCAGTGCTATTCGTAAGGTTTTCAGTGACTAAAAATTCAGTTAGTCTGTCTCGCCTTCTTTCTAATCTGTTTTAGCCTGGAAGCTCATCTGAAACCTGTTCACAAGGGTGACCCTGCTGGTATTTCAAATACCAGTGACGTAGCTTCCAGAATCACAGCAACACGCAATCCACTACAGTACTGCAAACTGACACACGAGAGTAGAATTAGATTTGTTGTTGTTAGGTGCTTTCGAGCTGGTTCTGACTCATAATGACCTTGCATAGGGTTTCCAAGGATTAGCTGGTGAGTTTGAAATGTCAACCCTGTGGTTCAAATGTACCTTGATGTCCAGTGCTTTATCCCACAGCACCACACCAGGACTCCGGAATTCGATTCAGAACCTACTATATCTGGTGTGGTGCTGTGGGCTAATGTGTCAGACTGCAAAGTCGTCTAAACTGCAATGTCAGTGGTTCAAGCTCACTAGCTGCTCATTGGAAACCCTATACAGGGTCACTATGGGTGGGAACGGCTCTTAACATATTTGGTCAGGAGTCCTGGTGTGGGCACTATAGGACAGCACTGGATTGCTAACCTCAAGGTCAGCAGTTCAAACCCACCAGCTGCTCCTCAAAAACTATACACAGGATTGCTATGAGTTGGAACTGACTCAATAGCTAATAACAACAACAGTACTCCCTCAGAATTTTATTAGCATAACAAAAAAGACCCATTTCCAAAGTGGATCCTGTCCACAGTAGTGTTGCTGTTAGGAGCTCTAGAGCTAGCTCTAATTCAGAGCTACCTGATGTGAAGCAGAACAAAACACTGCCCTAGCCTTCACCATCATCACGATTGTTTTATTTGTACCTATTTTTACTGCCAGTGTATCTATCAGTTCATCTCGTTGGAGTCTTCCCCTTTTTTGCTGACCCTCTACACGACCAAGAATAATGTCCTTTCCCTGGGACTGGTCTTCCTGATAATAGATCCAAAATACACAAGACAAAGTCTCACCATCTTCACTTCTAAGGTGAATTCTGGCTGTACTTCTTCCAACACATATTTGTTTGTTCTTCTGATCGTCTACGTTATTGTTAAGTGCCACTGAGTTTCTTCAGACTCTTAGTGACTCTTATTTTTCAAGGAGTGACTGGTGAGTGTGAATTGTCAACCTTGTGGTCAGCAGTTCAGTGCTTATCCTATTGTACCACAGCACAGTATTCTCACTATTCTTCACCAACACCATAAATCAAGTGCATCAATTCTTCTACACACTTATTCTTCCTTATTCATGTCCATAAAGTGATTGAAAGTACCATGGCTTAGGGCAGGCTCACCTTAGTCCTCAAAGTGACATCTTTGCTCTTCAACATTTTAAAGAGTTCTTTTATAGCAGATTGACAGCTGCTTCCTTGAGTGTTGATTGTGGTTCCAAGCAAAATGAAGTATTTGACATCTTCAATCTTTTCGCCATTTATCATGATGTTATTTATTATTGGTCTAGTAGTGTGGATTTTCTCTCTTTTTTGACATTGAGTTGTAATCCTTACAAAGGCTGTCTATGATCTTCAGCAATATGTGCTTCAAGCTCTCTTCACTTTCAGCAAGAAAGACTGTGTGATTTGCATGTCATAGGTTGTTAACAAGTCTTCCTCCAATCCTGATGCCTTGTTCTTCTTAATATAGCCCATCTTCTTGTATTATTTACTCAGTATACAGATTAAATAATTTGGAGAAAGGATACAACCCTGACACATAACTTCTCCAAATTTTAAATCCCCTTGTTCTGTTTGAAGGAATGCCTCTTGCTCTGAGTATAAGTTCCACATAAGCACTGTGCACTGTTGGAGAATGCCCATTGTTCACAATGTAAGCCATGTGAACCATGCAGTCCAATGCCTTTGCTTAGTCAATAAAACACAGGTAAACATCACTCTGGTGTTCTCTATTTTCAGCCAGGATCCATCTGACATCAGCAGTGATGTCCCTTGTTCCAAGTCCGTTTCTGAATCCAGCTTGAATTTCTGGAAGTTTCATGTTGCTGTACTGCTACAACTGGTTTTGAATTATCTTCAGCAAAATCATACTTGCATGTGATATTAGTGATATTGACCAATGTTGTCCCCATTCTGTTGGGTCACCTCTTTTTGGAATGGACACAAATATGGATCTCTTCCTGTCAGTTGGCCAGGATGCTGTCTTCCAAATTCTTTGGCATAGATAATTGAGTTCCTCCATAGATAAGTGCTGCCTCAGTATAGAGACTAGCATCCACAAGTTCAAGGACCAGGATTCTATCACATACTTAATTCATAGCAGTCCCCTCAAGCACTTCTTCCTGGTTTACCAGGTGCCTGTGAAAGAGGCAGGCTGTCTGAGAAGAGGGTTGGTTTTTAGGTGACACATAATCTATGTATTTTCATACAGTTGTAGTGACAAGCATTTAAAAAAAAAAAAAAAAAAAAGGAAATATGGCACCACTATCATGAAGAGATGTTTCCTGATGTGTGGCTTTTCTGCCATGATTAATGTCAGTAGGGCTAGAAAATGTTCTAAAAGAGATCCAAATAATGAGTGAAAATGCCTGCCACCTGATCTTTAAGAACTGAGACTCAGAATGCCAACACTGTGATTTATTAAGTTAACAGACTTTTATAAGTTCACTAGTCTTGGAAGACAGAAAAAAATGTAATCCTAAAATACTGTTAACTAGACTTATCTAATTTAATGAATAGATGGGTGCTGTGGACTGGTTGGCAAACAAGAAGTCAATAACTTGTATCGATTGGTGTGTAAGGCCCTGGGACTGTATGATTCAATTCTTTTGTGACCTTAATTTTCTCTTCTTGAAAACCAAAATGTTATTATAGGATAGCATGTATATGTACAGTCAGGAACCCAAGCATGTACATTTAAACCCCAATTTTAGTAGACTTTGCTTGGTTCAGAACAACTCCTTGTATAAATCTCTGGGATTCTCTACCTTCCATGGTTGAAAGGTACTCTGTATCTAAAGCAATCACGTTACTATTCTGTACCACCTCAGCTCGCTTTCAGTGCTCATACTGGAAACATGCATTTGTTTTTTACCCTCATGAAGTACAATGTTTTATACAATTACATTGGCTCCAAGGGAGAAATAGTCCCTTGAGATGGAATTTTATTGAAAATTGTAGTGTTCAAGAAAGATTACGAGGGTGTCTGAATTCTTAATAGACATTTTAGACATTCTGTAAGTGAAAAGGTTCCAAGTGGAGAACAACCTCCTCAACCAGTAGGGACCACCTCTCATACTGAGCTGTGTGCATGGACCTGAATGCTACAAGGACAACTAAAATGATCAGTGATAATGACCATCATTTACCCCAAAGGAGGATCCAATTGAATTGATTTTAGAGATGACACTTTATTTAAGGGCACTGATTTCTTCAAGAACATTCTATATACCTTCTAGTCCTTCTAGTCCCAGGAAGGTTAGAGTGAGTTAGGAATGGCAGAGACTATAACAGAGTATGAGAATTGATGAGCCTTGTTGAACCCATATTTTTTGCTCCTGTTTTCTCTGTATGAACTTATAGCTATAGAATTTGTCCTGAGGAAGATGTTCACTGTTGTGTTTCAAGTCCTGTTTAGGAAGGAACCTCACTAATGACTGTTTTTTCCCAGCACCTCTCATTATTGGCATCTCCTGACTTGCTTTGTTGTTTGTTTGCCCCCACAGAACCTCTACCAGAACAGGTTTTTGGGCCTGGCTGCCATGGCATCTCCCTCTAGGAACTCTCAGAATCGGCGCCGGTGCAAGGAACCACTCAGATACAGCTACAACCCTGACCAGTTCCACAATGTGGACATTAGGAGTGGCCCTCACGACCATGTTACTATCCCCCGCTCTACCAGTGACACTGACCTGGTCACCTCAGACAGTCGATCCACCCTCATGGTCAGCAGCTCTTACTACTCCATAGGACACTCGCAGGATCTGGTAATTCACTGGGACATAAAGGAAGAAGTGGATGCTGGAGACTGGATTGGCATGTACCTTATTGGTAAGTAGATGTCTCTTCACTGGGTGGGGCTTACCCAGACTTACCCAGGGATTTCCTTTAGGGAATTAAGTGATACAATTGTGGGGGCTGGAAAGTCCCAAATCTATAGAAGAGTTGCAGACTGCAGCAGGATGTCCAAGTTACAGCCTTGAAATAGAATCCTCTCCTACTAGCCAGTTACAGTCTCTAAAATTTCGGGTTCTTTAATTCCTAAATAGAGAAAGCGCAACTTGCTTCTCAAGACCATTGAGAGGAATCTATGAGATAAATGTGCATCTACTGCCTGGTGATACTCGTTACAAAATGGAATAAGGGCTTACTCAAATCATCACAAGTGACACGCAAGGCACTTAAAGATGGCATTTCGGGGACATCCTCCTAAATATTTATTTCTTGGTTTGCTTTAACTTTTTATTGTGATTTGGGTGAAAGTTTACAAAGAAAATTGGTCTTTCATTCAGCAATTCAGATACATTTTGTTTCATAGTATTGACTGCAGTCTCCACAGTGGAACAGCACTCTTCCTACTTCCTGTGCCTCCTTTTCTAGTCCTCTTTCTTTCCTATCCATTCCTGCCTTCTGAACTTTATCACTGGACAAGTGATCCCCTTTTAATCTCATATGATTGTTCTAAGAAGTATGTACTTCCCTGGTGGTACTTTTCACCTTCTAGGCCTATCTATTGTTAGGCTGAACTTTGAATCATGGGTGTTCAGTTCCTGCCCTGAATGGTGATTAAGGACCACAGTCTCTGAGTTTCCACCATTGTCTGTCAGACCTGCAAGCTTGATTTTTGTTAGAATTTTGAGTTTTGTTCCACAGTTTGCTGCCACTTGATCCAGCATCCACTATGTGATCTCTTTCAGAGCAGTTAGCAATGGTAGTGGGGCACTAAATAGGTCTTTTGGTCTTGGGATCATTGAGGCTGCATGGTCTATTTGTCCTTTGGACTAATTATTTCCACATGTTTGTGGTTACCTTCACTCTTCCATGCTCTCGACAGGAAAAGACCAATAGATAGCCACTCATAAGCTTTTAGGAACCCTGTCACTGACCACCAAAGGAAGATGCAGAATATTGTCTCTGTGAACTATGTTATGCCAACTGACATTCATGTCCCCCACGACTAGCCTCCAGGCCCAGTGACCCATTCCCTAAAATGTTTGGTATGGCTTAGAAGTTTCCACACATTTGCCCCTGTTTGATCTTAATTACATGGATTTATTTACTACCCTCCTCCTACCCACAAAAAACCCCTACCATTGCCATAGAGTAGATTGTGACTCATAGGAACTCTATCGGACAAAGTAGAACTGCTGTGTAGGGTTTCGGAGACTGTGAATCTTTACCAGAACATACAGCCTCATGTTTCTGTGGAGCAACTTTGACTTTGAATTGTTGACCATGAGATTTGTAGGATATATGTACAGCACATGAAATGTTGTTGTTATGTACCTTTGAGTTGATTCCGACCCATAGCAACCCTCTATAGGGTTTCCAAGGAGCAGCTGGTGAGCTTGAACCACCAGCCTTGCAGTTCAAACGACTTTGCAGTCTGATGCATTAGCCCACAGTGCCACACCAGGACTCACATAAAATAGGTACATAGAAATATCATCTGCCAAAGCTATGTATGCTCATGAGTATAATATCTTTTGCCTACTCATGCCTGTGCATCTTGCCTGTCTAGCAATGTATCCACATGTAGATCAATGTTTGTTATTACTGATAATTCCTATGTACCGCTCCATGTCTTGCTTTTCATTAGTGATATTGTACTGATCACTCCCTCATTGTTTGAGCATGTTGCCTTTCTCTTCACCCAAGCAAATATGTGTGTGTTATCTAGTTGGTGACTTTCTCTCCCCTTTCTTTCCATCCCTTGGTAACCATCAAAGATTTTTTTTCTGTGTGTATATACCTTTCCTTGACTCTTTAGTAATTGTTTAGTATACAATATTTGTCCTTTTGTAATCGCCTGATTTCACTCAGCATGATGTCCCTTTGGTTCATCCATGTTATGAGGTGTTTCACAGATTCATCATTATTCTTCAACATTCTGATGTATTCCATTGGGCATATGTGTATGTTTTCCATGTGGGCATATTCGTTTCATTCATCTGTTGATAGGCACATACATTGTTTCCATCTCTTTGCTAAAGTGAATAATGCTGCGGTGACCATGAGTATAGGTGTACATATATCTGTTAACCATCCTGGCTCTTCCTCATTTAGGATATATATACCTAGTAGGGAGATTGCTGGATCAAATTATATTTCTATTTCCAATGTCTTAAGGAAGCACCATGTGTGATGTCATAGTATGAGTATTGGATGGCTAATCGCAAGGTCAGCAGTTCACACCTGCCAGCTGCTTCTTGGAAATCCTATATAGGATTGCTATGAATCAGAACTGGCTCCACAGTGCTTAACAACCCCAACAAGGATTTGTCATACAGTTTTCCACAGTGGCTGCACCATTTTACATTCCCATCAGCAGTGTAGGATAGTTCCAATCTTTCTACACCCTTGCCACCGTCTGTTGTGTTCTGTGTAATTGAACTTGGCAATTTTTGCTGGTGTGGTGCCATAGGATAAGCACTCAACCTCAAGGTCAGTTTGAACTACAGGATGGGAGATTCAAACTCACCAACTGCTCCTCGGAAACCCTATGGTTTTTAAGTACTGACAAGTCAGTTCTGACTCATAGCGACCCTGTATAAAGTTTCCAAGGAGCTGCAGTTGAGCTTGAACTGCCAACCCTGTGATTGAACTTGCAATCAGTGCACTAACCTGCAGCTCCACACCAGGACCCCTGGAAGCCCTATACAGGGTTGCTATAAGTCAGAGCTGACTCAACAGCACTTAACAACAACAACATTATTGTGGATGTAGGATGAATACCTTATTGTTGCTTTGATTTGCATGGCTAATGATCATGACTATTCCTTCATGTTTTTGTTTGCCACATGTATGTCCTCTTTGGTGAAGTGTCTGTCTGTGTTCTCTGTCCGTTTTTTATTTTAATTGTTTGTATTTTTGTTGTTGAGGTGTCAAAATTTTAATGTCCTTCCTTATCCCTTATCCAAGGAACTCTGGTAGCATAGTGGTTACGAATCGGGCTACCAGCCGCTCCACAGGAGAAAGATGAGGCTTTCTGCTCCCGTAAAGATTTACAACCTCGGAAACCCTGTACAGACTCGACAACACTTAACAAAAACATCTCTTTTATCCTGTTTTTTTCCCTTGAAGTCTATTTTATTTTATCAGAAAATAATATTGCCAGTTCCCTTCCTTGGTTGCCATTAGCTAGGGTTATTTTGTTTCATCTTTTGATTTTTAATTCATTTTTATCTTTGTGTCTAGGGTGAGTTTCTTGTAGGCAACATGCAAGGTTCTGTTTTCTTATCCATTCTCTTTCTCTTATCCGCTCTCTTTCTCTTGATTTATACTGTTAATCTGTTTTCATTCAGTGTAATTAATGATAGATATAATTTATTTTTGTCATTATTTTGTGGTTTGTATTTGATGTTGATGATTCCTTTGTTCTATATATGTTTCCATTTGGAGTTCATTTTGTTATCAGATTTTCTTTCATTTTTTTGCTGTTATTAATTTTGTGTTTACTAAATACTTGAAGCACTTACTGATGAAGATTAAAGATACAATCTTCAGTATGGAATACATGTCAATATAAAGATAATGAAAATCCTCACACCTCAACCAATAAACAATATAATAAACAAAAGAAATATTGAAGTCATCAAGGATTTCATTTTACTTGGATCCTCAATCAACAGTCATAGATCCAACAATCAAGAAATCAAATGATGTATAGCATTGGGCAAATCTGTTGCCAAAGATCACTTTAAAGTGTCAAAAAGCAAAGATGTCATCACTTTGAGAACAAAGGTTCCCCCGACTCAAGTCCTGGATATTCATTTACCTCATATGCATGCAAAAGCTGAACAATGAATAAAGAAGACTTAAGAATAATTGATGCTTTAAAATTATGGTATTAATGAAGAATATTAAATATACCATATAGATTGTCAGAAAAAATGAGCAAATCTGTCTTGGAAGAAGTCCAGCCAGAATATTCCTGAGAAAAGAGGCTTCATCTCTTTTATTTTGTACATGTTAAAAGAAGGACTGCATGCTTAGGAAAATAGTCATTATTGCTATATGCCATCAAGTTGGTCTTACTTATAGCAACCCTGTATAGAGGTTATCTGCATTACCGAGTTAGCTTTTTTTTTCCAAAAATTCATTTAAAACATAAAGAGAGGATATATTCATGTATTCAAAATTCAGCAAATTGAGATAATAACTCAGAGTAAAATTTAAATTTCTCTAAAATAATATCTTTGAAGTGCCACTGTATACTAGTGCCTGGGGATGCATGTTCCCTTCCATACCTCCTAAGCTGCTCAACCTGTGTGCAGTTAGAGATTACAGATTATAGCAAAGTGATCCTTTGAAATATTTTAAAGCTTCCTCTGTGACCTGTAGCTGTTCCATTTTTATACTCTATGAGATGAAAAAAAATTGTGTATTCTTTGCTACAAATAGTTATGTCTGTGTTCCTTTCTATCTCGTTCATCTTCTTATGCATATATTATATGTGTGTGTGTACAAGTAAACACACATGTTTACATATATTTATTTATAATGTATTGGAATCCTGGTGTGTTGTTGTAGGATAAGCACCAGACAGCTAAACACAAGATTGGCAGCTCAAACCCACTAACTGTGCCTCAGAAAACCCTATACAAGATCACTGTGAGTTGAAACAGACTCAACCAGACACAAAGCAACAATAAATATAATACTTTATTCTTATTAGTTTTAATATGCATACATATTCGGATGAACTTATCTCGTTGTTCTATTTTTTTTTAATAGAGTAGGTAACATTTCTGACAAAAAATTGTCAGTTAGCTTGTACCTTCACTTCTGTAAGCTGGATACTTTTTAGATGTTGAGACTATAGTCATCAT